CTACCCAGGGCCAAACAAGGGCCCCAAGCCCCACCTGGCCCCAAGGGCAAGGCAAATGCCGAGCAGCAAGAACCTCTACGGGAATGGTTCCCGAATGCCTCAGGAAAGATAACCCTGTCATGTAGGGGCAGTACTCACAGGGCACTTAGGGAAGGAAGCCCCTAAGCGCATGCAACCCCAGCACTGATGAGGTACTCAGGGCTACCGCACAACACACAGCAGTGAACGCCACGAAGGCAAACACCGCCTAGGAAACTGAGGCCAGAGAAGCGTCTATCCTGGTTGATATTAGCTTACGAACTGATGCTAGGCAGCCGGCGCGGTAGGTCCGGGGCTCCCCCCTTCCCCCTATCGGGGAAGGGAGGGCTGCGCAGACGAACAGCGCGGCAGTAAAGTGTGATGTTTGCTCGTTTCCTTGGGATTGTAGGGAGTTTCTACCTCTCTGTTCGGTTTTTTGTTTTAGTTTTTTATCATGTGGGGTTTGTTTTGTTATGCCTACCTTTCTGGGTGCCTAACTCCGGTCAATGGCAGATAAGGAAAACCCCAACCACAAGGGGGTTTTCCAGGGCCATTGCTCCCTGAAACCTCTCTTGAAGGGGCCAGGTTCTGGCACTGGTTCCTGGTACGTCTGAACTCCTTAGCTAATGTCCCGGTCTAATATAACATACATTAGCCCATTAAGCTCCAGGGAGCCGTAGGGGCTCCTCACAGGAAAGTCAAGCTGATGCCAACAAGCAGCTACCTAAGGGACAGAAGGATCGCCAAAATACCCCATACCGCCGCCAAGAAGAAGGTGGAACACCAACAACGAAGCCACCTGATCCCCAACTGAAGGCGAGACACTCGAGGCAAAACCTAACCGGTCCCGTCAGGTTTCATCCGAGCCTAGGAAGAGGCGGAGCCGCGGAAAGATCTCGGGCACGACAACCGAGGATGCAGAGCCGGAAACCCAAGCCAGCAAGGAAGGAGATGGAATGTCTGCCAAACAGAAAAACTCCCCAAACGTGAGCCAGTTCGCCAGGAGATCTGAAACTACAGGTCCGACGCGAGATTCCAGAGAAGGAACACCGCGAAACCCTGAAAATGCCAACAGGCAGGGCAAGCCAGGAAAACAAGAAGCCAAACCCGGCAACAGGAACGCCAAAAGTCACAAACAAAACACACAACAGTGTGTAGAAGAGAATGAGAAAAAGACCAGAAGAACATCCCCAGCACCAGTGGCCAGGGACAAGAGTGAAGCAAGAAGATGAGGAATGAAGAAGGCATGCAGCAAAATGGGAACGAAAGGGACAAGACCAACCCGTAGGCCTCGTAGGGGGGGCCTCGTAGCCTGGTGGATAGCGCGCAGGACTCGTAATTCTGTGGCACGGGTTCGATTCCCACACGAGGCAGAAACAAATGGGCAAAGTTTCTTTCACCCTGAATGCCCCTGTTACCTAGCAGTAAATAGGTACCTATATAGGTAAATAGGAACGAACCCTCGAGAACAAAAAAGCAAGCATAAGGCACGAAAGCACATAAGGCACGAAAGCGCATAAAGGCACAGTCGTACCCGAGACCAAAAGTCATGTAGAACGCCAAGAAGAGGGGAACATGACAGACATCCTGTCCCAAGAAAAAGGGGGGAATAACAGAGGAGAGCACCCACCTACAGGACGGAACCAACCGACTCGAGGGACAAGGAACCGAGCCCAGGGAGGGGCCGACACCCAGAAAAACTCGTACGGCGAGGGAGAGGAAAAAACCCCATCAGCATAACTGCAAGCCCCGCCGAGAAGGTAGAAAAAAACCCGCGGGGTCCAACGGGGCCCTAGGCCTCCCCAAGTTAGCTCCTCCCCAGCCCCGGGATGTAATGGGGGGTGGGGGAAATAGCTCTCTCTCTAGTCCATTATTCCACCCCCCCAGTTAACTAACGAGGCCGGGGAAAACAGCTCTCTTTAGTCCATTATCCCGCCCTCAGTTAGCTAACTATTCTAGAGCACCCCCCAGAGTTCCTACAGCAGCCTCTCTCGTTCAACACCTTGTAACCTAGGTATTCGATTACCTAGGTGCACTGACTACAAGGCGCCGTAACTTGATCAGCTACCCGAAACTCTAGAGAACTCTAGAACACATTTCACTGCCACAAACATATAAGAGAAACGAAAGGAAAGAGATGAATAATAAAGTACTTAGTGAGGGTTTGGGGTGAGAGGGGTAGAGAGGTGAGAGGAGCGAGGAGGGTCGTCAGTTGAAAGGGAGAGTTTGGAGAGGGGTGGAGGGGGAGGAGTAGATAGGTAGAAGTAGAAAAGTAGATAGTAAAAGTAGACGAGTAGATAGTAGTAGAAGAAATGCTGCCACCATCCATTCATTTGTCCGTACCTACAAGACAAGGAATGAAACTTGTCTGTATCACTATATTCTCAAAGATGTTATCAAGAGGTCATTATTAGTATGTTTCATCTGTATCATGTACTCATTAAAATCATGAAACCAGTAACTGCTGAGGTTTTCATCTCAACTCAAAAAGCTCTAGGGAACATAGTTAAAGACAATTTAAACAATAAATTCATCAATTATATTTCACATGATAAGTATCATAATTTAATCAGTTCATCTTAATGTTCAAGATTAATATACAAAGTGAGTCATTATCCAAGAATTCGAGAACCCTACAACTTGACTGCCCCTGATCCTCACACTCCACTTGTAAACACGACCAAGTCACCTAAATGTTCACTCACCGAGGACTGCGTAAGTTGAATAGAGGGGGGGAGGGTGTCTGCAATTGTCAGGCAGGGCCGGCCTGCCGGGGGGTGGTCTCAAGACCACCCCCCGTCCATCCGACAGCCTGTCTCGGCGGCTGACCTCTGCTGTGCTCTCCTGGCTGTTCTCCTATTGCTTATCTTCCTATCTACAGCTCCCTCAGTATATATATTAGGAAACCTAGTAGCTAACTCCACCCACAAGTAGATAGCCCAAGGCTCTCTACCAAACCACTCCTTAAACTGGCAGCTTGTTTGAAGGCTATCAGGCTACAATTATAAGATTAGCAGAAGCAAGGTGAAATTCGCATGAGCTGACCTCAGGTCAACTTGAGGTCATTAATGCTTAGAGGTGCGAGTTTCAGGCCGACAGAATGGCGCCTCTCAAATCCTTGTCTGTGACTCATGAACAATATATGTATTAAATAAAACTAAACCAAACACCTTCACGGTGTCACAGGGAACCCACACAGCAGGCCCCGGGGCCAAGCCGTCCCCCAAAGCCCAGGCCTCATAAGAAAACACCGGGGCAGCCGCAAAAAACTAAAGAAGGGAGCCCACTGGCAGACTCTTACAACACGGCTGGAGGAACAGGCTTAAATGCCCTCATCACTACCCCGGAAGGGAAATTCCCCGAGAACACCGAGTCTCAAGACCAACGACCCCGCCTCGACCCCGAACCCACAGACAGTAACGAGCCGGATGCAGGAAGGAAGGGGAAAACCAGACGAGATCACAACAGGGGAAAGACAAGGGGGCGTGGAAGGAACCGAAGCAACCAACACCCCCAAGCCCCAACACCAACCAAAACCGGGCAGCCTTGGGGCTTCCGGGGAGCAAACAACCGAGAGCGTTGCACCAACGAAGCTCAACATGTAACTGCACCGGCATAGTCAGCACAAGACTGGGTAACCGAGTCACAACAAGCAACAAAACTCGCAGGACTCTGGGCCGAAGGTGTCACCAACCCCACAGGCAGCAGACGGAGGCAAAGACAGAGAGAGTCACCCTGAGACAAGGGGTGAGAGCAACCTTCAACTCACTGGAAGCAAGGGGGGACTCCGGGGTCACACCCATCGGACCCGCGCGCGCCCCCAGGGGTTTTCCAGGGTCTTGAGCATTTACTATAAGAGGACTCGCGCTCAGGTAATCCCAGGCAGGGTACTGCTAACCGGCGCCCAAAGCTACCAAACAACCTTCTAAGAACTGAACCCCCCTGACGTGTACACTCACGGGGGCCTAGTAGGGGGGAACCACCTGAAGAAGGAAGAATACTCAGTACACAGGGGACAAGAACGAAAGCAGACCCTCCCCCCCACCAGGCAGATAAACAAAAAGAAAAAGAAAACCCAGCAAGAGGACAGCGTACCCAGGCGGAACAGAGCTGGTCGCCATGATTGGTGAAACAAGCTGCACAGCACCCTGCACTCCACCAGTGCAAAACTGCCCCTTACTCTAAGGCGAACAAGGAAGTCAGAACATCCGAGCACACAAAGGGCGGCAGAAAACCAAGCAGTAATTGGCCTAGCAGAGGCAGAACCCAAGGAACTTGTGGAAGGTTGCCCCAAGCCCCAAAGGGCAGTACTTACAGGGCACCTAGGGAAGGAAACATTAGGCACACGCAGCCCGAGTACTGGAGAATCACTCCCGGCTCATGCACCACCTAGAAGACAGTCACCACACACTAGGTACAGTGCCGAAATAACCACCGGAGCCAGAGCCCGTGACCTCAGCCTTTAGCATCAGCCGAAGAACTGATGGTGGATAGCCGGCGCGGTAGGTCTGGGGCTCCCCCTTCCCCCTCCCGGGGAGAGGGGAGCTGCGCAGACAGCGGGGCGGCGACGTGTGACATGATCGTTTGCTCGTCTCTTTTAGGGAAGTTCTATCCACCTGTTCGGCTTGTGGTAGCAATTTTCACCAGAATAGGGGTTTGTTTTGGAACGCTTACCTTTCTGGGTGCCTGACCCAGTCGATGGCATAGAATGCTTCCAACCACACGGGGGTTTCTATAAGGCCATTGCTCCCCTTGCCTCTCTGAGGGGGCCAGGTTCTGGCTCGTGGTCCCCGGTAGGCCCATAGAACTCCATACACATGACTAATGCCATAGTCTGACATTAGCATATCAGCCTGGATAAGCTCCAGGGAGCCAAAGGGGCTCCCCCTAGAAAAGACAATAATTTGTACTGCATTAGCATTTAGCAAACAAATATACTTACATTAAGCAATGTTAACTTGTGCAATTTAACAATGCCTTACCTGCGCACCAGAGTCAAGAAGAAGGCGTGCAACCTCCACAAGGCCATGCATGCTGGCCTTCATCAGGGCAGTGTGCATTTCATTAGTCTTATGTTCTTGATCAGCTCCAGCACCAAGCAAAAATTTAACCATCTCTGAGTTGCCCTTGTTGCAGGCTAAAATCAATGCAGATTCTTTAAATTCACTGCTGTGGGTGTTGATTCCTGCACCTTTTTCTAATAGTATCTAGAATAAATAAGACAATTCTTCAGAAAAATTAACCATAGTGAATATACTGACATTACAATTGAATAACTCAACTAAAAGAAATTTGGGCCGTCCTTGGTATCATCCAGAGGAACTCAGTATTCTTACTAATGCATCACTTCCACTGCTATTTCAATGTAACTATTACCAGACTCAAATTTCTCTTCAAATAAACTATATAGAGCATCAAAAATGTATATATTAATTCAACATTACCATAATAAGATGATGATAATACAGAATACTAATACAACAATAAACAATCAAGTCAAGATGGCAAATGTTTTCCTATTTCCAATAGGGTATAGTTACCCTACAGTTACCTTGCGATGATTTCTGGGCTCAATGTCCCAGTGGTCCTTGTCCTTTGTCCTTGACCAGGCCTCCTGGTTGCTGGACTGGTCATCCAGGCTGTTGAACACGGCTGCTTGCAGCATTGTTGATCATCCTTTGAAGGTATTTATCAAATTCTCTCATGAACAGTGTGAGGGGTCAGCCAGTTATGTCCCTTATGTGTAGTGGAAGCAAGTTGAACAGTCTCAGGCCTTTGATGTTGATAAAGTTCTCTCTCAGAGTACCTATTGCACCTCTGCTTTTCAACAGAGGGGGGGGGGGATTCTGCACATCCTGCCATGCCTTCTGGTCTCGTGTGGTGTTATTTCAGTGTGCAGGTTTTGGGCCAGCCCTTCTAATATTTTCCATGTGTAAATTATCATGTATCTCTCCTGCCTGCACTCAATAGAATACAGATTTAGGCATTTTATTTTAGTCAGTCCCAATAGTTTAGATGTTTTACCGAGTGGATTTTAGCATTAAAGGATCTCTGCATGTTCTCCAGGTCAGTAATTTCTCCAGCTGTGAAAGGAGCTGTTATTGTGCAACAGTATTCCACTCCAGAGAGCACTAGCATCTTGAAAGTATCATCATTGGTATAGCATCTTTAGTTTGAAACGTTTTTGTTATCCAACCTGTCATTATTCTTGCAGTTGTGACGGCTACTTTGTGTTCTTTAACCCTTAGACCGCTCAATACATAAATTATTTTGTCAAATCATACATGTAACATAAGTTTTTAATTAATACTGTAACCCCGTGATTATCCGGGATTCAAACATCCGAAAAACGCCCTTATACGGCCAAAATCGCGATCGGATAAAGTTATCACAATATCCGGTCAAAATAGCCACAGGGACCGGATAAAAGCTGGTTTTGTCGGATAAAATGTTGGGGCCTGGTTAATTTTCTGCCGAAATTACACTATCCGGTCAGTCGCCCGGATAATCATGGCTTTGTCCGTACAGTATATGAAAACATGAGGCAGGCCATACGGTATTAATCCCATCTGCCCGTGACTCGAGGCGCATGGTGTAGGTGGGGTGGGTGGGTGGTGTCGGGAGAGAGGGGAGCGTTGGGAGGGACCACCTGGGGGGATAAGGGGGGATGGGGAGCAGCCTATACACTACAGTACAGTAATTACTATCTTGAGGTTATCTTGAGATGATTTCGGGGCTTTTTAGTGTCCCCGCGGCCCGGTCCTCGACCAGGCCTTCCCCTCCAGGAAGCAGCCCGTGACAGCTGACTAACACCCAGGTACCTATTTTACTGCTAGGTAACAGGGGCATAGGATGAAAGAAACTCTGCCCATTGTTTCTCGCCGGCACCTGGGATCAAACTCAGGACCACAGGATCACAAGTCCAGCGTGCTGTCCGCTCGGCCGACCGGCTATCAATTTTAGAACAATTCATCATAGCCAAAATTAAAAGAAATACTAGTAATTATGTAATAAAAAATTCCATACAAGTTTCCTAAAAACAATTTGCACAGGCTGAAGTTTCCTTCAAAAAAAAATTTTTTTTTTTTTTTTCCTCCTGGCGGCCTACGTAACGTGCCTCCTCCCTGCCCCGACTGGACCCGTCCAGACCTGGTCAACCCATGTGCTCTCTACCCTCGTGTTACACCACAGTGCCGCGCCATTAGTGAAATATTTTTTTAAATAACTTTTTTTATTTTCATAGTAACTTTGAACATTTTTGGCCAAGACTATGTCTGGTAGCAGCATGAATCATTCTGGAGGTGGTAAGAGGAAGAAGGTTGTCCTAACACTTAAGGACAAGCTACGTGTTATACAACTTTGTGAACATGGCCGGTCGACCTCAAGTGTTGCCAAGGAATTTAATATAGGCACTAGTACTGTTTCTGATATAAGGAAACAAAAAGAGAAACTTATGCAATTCATTTCAACCTGTGAAAGTGAAGGTGCAAGCACTAGCAGAGGTTGTGGTAGAAAAACTATGAAAACTTTGATGCAAGTACAGTTGGATGAGGCCATGTACAAGTGGTTTGCTCAGCACCGCACAGCTGGCGTGACAATTCGCGGCCCAGAAATACAAAATGCTGCAATCAGATTTGCTGCAAGCCTTGGAATAAAGAATTTCAAAGCGAGTGAAGGGTGGGTTGCAAGGTTCAAGGGTAGGCACAATATTGTGAAGAGGAAAATTGTCGGTGAAAAATTGAGTGCAGATGAAAGCAGTGTAGAACCATTTAAACATAAATTATGAGAATATATTGTGGCAATATATATATATTCGCATCAAATTTATAATGCAGATGAAACTGGGTTGTATTGGAGGAGTTTACCAGAAAAAACTCTAGCAATGAGGAGTGAGGGTTGTGTGCCAGGACGTAAGGTTTGCAAGGACAGGCTCTCAGCCATGATGTGTGCGAATGCCGACGGCACAGACAGAATCACGTGTGCAATTGTTGGCAAATCTAAGAAACCAAGAGCCTTGCAACATTGCATGGACAGACTGCCAGTGAAATATTATAACTCAAAAAATGCATGGTTTACACAGGAGATCTTTCTTTCCTGGTTTCATGACGTGTTCTGCAGGGAAGTTCGTGCCTATCAAATTAAACTCAAAATGAAGCCAAGCGAAGTTCGGGCTTTACTGTTGCTTGATAATGCGCCTGCCCACCCCAAAATTGATACTTTAACCTCACATGATGGCAAGATAACGTGTATGGCACTTCCTCCTAACACAACCTCTCTCATTCAGCCTATGGATCAGGGAGTTAGTTATCTGTGCCACGAAGAGGTTGTACACCAAAAAGATGGTAAACGAAGTTTTGGTGGTTTTGCCTCTTCCGGAAGATATTGAACTCGGTGTGGATAACAGGGCTAAAAAAAAAAACTTCAGAATTTGAAGAACTATACAATCAAGGAAGCCATCTATAACTGGGCCAAGGTGTGGAGTGAATTAAAGGAATCGACTTTGAAAAATTCCTGGACAAAACTCCTCACGTCTACGGTCAGAAATAAGGAGGATAAAGAAATGGATTTTGAAGGATTTACAGATGAAATCCATGGAATGTTTAAAAATGCCGGTGAAAACTTAGAAAGACAGGATGTGGTTGATTGGCTTGAACAAGATGCCAATGACACAGGATATGGTGTGATGAGTGAAGACGAGATCCTCCAGTCTGTTACTGGTGAGGTCGACGAAGAGGATGAATAAGGCAGTGAAGAACCAACACCAAGGACCACGAAATACAGTGTACTCATGACCTATGTTGACGGATTAATAAATTTTTCATCTAATTGTGCTCATCCAGAGGTTGGAAACATGTATCCGTACCTTAGGCAAACAAAAGAGCTGATCATACAACTGGCCAGTGAACACAGAAGGCAAGCAACACTTGATTCATATATGGTACGAAAATCAAACCAAGCGCCTTCAACAAGTGAGGCGGCACGCGCAAACCAAGCGCCTTCAACAAGTGAGGCGGCACGCGCAACCCAAGCGCCTTCAACAAGTGAGGCGGCACGCGCAACCCAAGTGCCTTCAGCCAGTGAGGCTTCCTCAGCTGACAGTGAAAACTAACTTTGCCTAATGAACTGTACAGTAATTTTAAGTGTTAATTTTAGTGTTGTGTTACTTTAAGTTACGTAAATTGTCAAGAATTTTTAACTTCAAGATGTGTGTCATCAATCAAGAAGACGAACACCAACAAGATAAGTTGAGGTTTCTAGTTGAATATTTAATAATTATATGTGGCATGGCACTTCAAATTATGTTGTTTGTAGTATAAAAATAATTGGAAATGGTTAGTTTTGGACTCGTAGGTGAAAAAGTACCATTATCCGAAAAATGTGCTAATCCGGCTGGGGGTCCTTCCCATATAGTCCAGATGATCGAGTGGAGACAGTACTTGCATGAACACTTTCCAATTTTTTTTTTTTTTTTTTTTTTTTTGGCATAATCAACTAGGCAAATGCTCCAACTTCGTTTAAATGATAATGATTCAAGTCAGTGTAACTTGAAAAATAATAATCAAAATTAGTTTTAAAATTGAATAATGAAAACGTCAAGATTTTCAATTCGGAATAAAAAATATGAACCATCACCAATTGTTCATTTAATGTTGTTATTCTCTCAGAATAGTGTATGATCTTCATTTTCATCTAATGAGAATACTGTATAGGTTTTCAGGACAGTTTACTGTAAAAAATCGTCAATAGGGCATTTGAAATATGCATCATATTTAGAACAAAATTTTGTTTAACTCCAAATGTATAAAGTTTATGAAAAATCTATTCTGATGGGATTGTAGAACAGAGTTGAGCACAAAATATGTCAAAATAGTGAGAATCGGTCAAAAACTGGAATTTTAGAAGCCACTCAAAGTTAAAACTCTAGTTTCAGAGATAATTGAAGTTTTCAACAATGAATAAAGGTACAGTAGTTTTAATTTGTTAATTTAATTGTATCTTTTAATAAACATTGTTTGGCATTTGTACTCGAATATGTGAGAGTTGTCGGTCAATATGTGTTGAAATGAAGTCAAGAAAAAATAACCCCCAAAACCACAAAATATAGGGATAATTATAATAATTATAATGATTTAGGGGATATATTTAAGGTATACTTTATATAAGTGAAAAGGCCCTAATATGGTCCCTAATCATCAAACAACCTAAA